GACTCTAGAATAACAGTTACAATTCTCTGTGCCATTGGTTTTCAATAGTGATTTAAAATGCTGTAGCGGAATAAGAGTCTGTAATTGCAGGGAGTTTTGAATATTGTGCCACGACCGTGGTGCTGCAGAGGAAAATGATGTTTTGACTTGAAGGGCGTGAGTTGTAACCACTGTTAGCTACAGACATGAGGTGACACAGGTATGGAGGGAGTTTACCCAGGATGGCCTTGTAAATAAAAGTAAGCCAATAATGTTGTCTTCTGAGGCTTAGGGAGGGCCATGAATATCAGCATACACTGCAAAAACAATCTAGAAATAAGTTACGATTTCTTAAATTAAGTGTATTTACCCTTAATTTGAGAAGGTAAGTAAGAGGATTTGCCAATGGAATGAGTATTTTTACACTTAAAATAAGACAATTAGATAAAATTCACTTGAAATAAGCAAATGCAATAGTTTTTACTTATTTTAAATGTAAATTGTCTTGTTCCATTGGCAAAGTGTCTCACTTACCTCCTCAATACAAGAAAAAATTCACTTATTTTAAGACAAATTGACTTATTAAGATTAAAATTTTCTGCAGTGTATTTCAGCCTTCACATGTGTAGCACTAGCTAAAATATAAAAAGGAAAAACAACAAAACAGAGTTTGAGCAGCAAATTCCAGCATATAGTGCTTCCAATTTTGACATTTTCAATTAAACTTTTTCACAATTATAGATGCTTTTAAATGAAGGCCAGTCTGTTCAGTGTCCAGGTTTTCTCCTGACTTCCTCCTCCTCTCTGGATCAATCCTCTCCTCATCTCCATCTTATGAGCTTTCATTTAGTAGCAAACTTTGATTTTTTGGGGTTTTGGTTGAGAGTTGATGCCTGAATTTGATGTTCTAAAAGCAACATCATCACGCTTGTGCACTCAGATGTGAAAAAAATATGGTTTAACTTACAGCCGCTTTGCTGAGAGGGTCCAACGACACCACCTGAACCGGTGCTTCTCCTTTCAGAGTGAAACCCAGATCTCTGTCCTCTGCACACACAAGGATCTTCCTCGGGGGAGTCCACTTCTGCTTGGCTGAGAAGACTGACAAAGGGCCCTGAGTGGACACAGGGGGGAAAGGTTTGGGTTAATTGGATTTTTAGATTCAAAAAGGACAATTTCCTGCTAAGTTTTATGTTGCTTAAAGTCCGTTTTTTTCTTCCTGGATGATAATTGATGTTATAAACATCCTCTCTTCATGGAGCAGTAATGAAGATTTCAAAAAGCCACGCATTACCAGCACTGAAGTGGTACCTGTACCACCAGGGCAAGGAGAGTTCACACACATGATGGACACATATATCCCCCTTTGAATCCTCCAAACAAAACAAATCTTTATTCCTTTTCAGCAGGGACAGCCCTGAAATAAAATATTTAAATCTGGCAATCCTGTAAATCTTTTAAAGGATTACAACCTTGTGCTTAAACTGTTAATAAAGAGGTGGGTTGGATTTTATGACAGGAACAACAGAGCTGCTTATGGTCTGAGGCTTTACCCCCTGCTGTCAGAAACTGATGCCTGTATTTTATTAGAGTAGTTGTAAACTGGGCTTAACCAAAGGGAGACGTTCTAGATTTTGGAGCCGTCTCAGAGGATTCAAACAGAGAGGAAAAAAAACAAAAAAAGGAACGTCCCAATTGGCCCATAGCAGATAAATAATGCAGCAAATATCATATGGGAGCAAAAAAAGAATCCAATTCCAATGTTGAAACTGCAGGAGCTTAGCAATCCCTGCTGGGAGTTTTCTAAAGTCCCAGCAATGTGTTTCATTGAAATGCTAATATGTAGGCTAACAGGAAGTAGAATTGATTAAATAAGGGCACAAACGACCCATGTACAGAGGCCTTAGTCCTCGACGCGTGTGACCCGGGTTCAAATCCAACCTGTGGTCCTTTCCTGCATGTCTCTACCCCCTCATACCCCCTTTCCTGTCTGCCTACTGTCCATAAAAAACGAGCGACTATTGCTGTAAAAACTCAAAAAAACAACAACTCATTAAACGGATATTAGGTTTTCAAAAACATCTTTTGCAAAACATTATCTGAAGTGTTTGGTGCATTTCTAATCGATACTACAGCAGTTATACCCGCTGGTCTTTAAGGGTACATCTCCACCAGTTTGCAAATAATTGTCCCCAGACTTTGACTAGGCCATTTTAACAACTGAACACACTTTCATTTTAACCCCTTCAATGCAGCTTTGCTTGTTTTTTTATTTTTTTTTTTTAAGGAAACTGCCTTGCTGGAAGGTAAACCTCTCCCAGTGTGTTTTGAATCTTTCCCTCCCCTCTAAAGGCCTGGTTATCGTCCCACAGCAGTGTGTCGCAGTAAGCTTGTCGCAGATATTTTTCATTTATGTCCAATATTAAAGCGTGGTCTATGCTATGTTATTTCACGCCACGGCGCAAAAGGGACAACCAATAACTAGCTGTGGGTCTAGCATCGTCCGAGGCGGTGAGGAATTTGGGGCAAGTTTCATGAGGGTGAAAAAGAGCGGGGATCCAGGTGGAAAAAGGGTCCCAGCGTTCTCGTGCACCTCGCTCTTCTAGCTGTTCCATCTTAACGAGTCGTTTTCCACAATCGTGGTCATACAAACAAAACAAGCCGGTAAGGAACGAAACAGGAAATAAGCATAGAGTAGAGAGGATGTAGATTTGACCAATCAGAGGCCTCCTGTCTGCAGCACTGTCTGGAGAGGTGCACATTTGCATTCACTGTGACACACATGCAGACGGCCTGTTTCTGAGGATAAATCAGCCTTAACTTCCTGCTGAAGAAAGGTATCCCACAGCATGATGCTGCCACTTATTCTCCTCCGATTACAGCAACGTCCTCTACATATTGCTGTGTTTTAAAGGCACATTATGCAACATTTTTCAGTTAATTAATGTGTTCCAACGTTTTGGATGATTAAATGAGTCATTTCAGGTTGAACAAAGGTATTCTCGGCCGCCCTGGTGGT